AGAGTGATTTACTGGACCCCAAGTGATGGGTGTTACCACTTTGCTCGAAAATGCTCAGTGTACCACCTACATCCAGATAGAAAGAACAAGAAAAGCCAAAGTCCAAGGCTTGTGACCCTACCAAATCCACAAAAGAAGCAGCAAAAATTATCTTGAGTTTTATCATGCACACTGCTTCTGGGGAAAGTGTTTGGCCACTCCCTCACACCTGGAGCATGACACTGCTATAGTAATAGCAACAGAGTTTGATGCATACTTCAACTTCTCCTACGACAATGTGCTAAGTACAACTAGGGTTTCTTTGCTAAACTGCATTTTCTTCCAGGTTCGCCGACTCTTCTCACAGAGCTGAAACCTGCTGCTGTAGCTGTCCTAGGAGATAGCTAGAAGGAAACAAATGGGATTCAAACTTGTCAGCAAAATCAAATGAAATTTGCCGTTTGTTAATTATTAGTATAGTGGCTAATAACTCATATTAGCATTCAAGTTTCGTAAGGCAAAGTCCTCCCAAAACCTTAGAGTAAGCCTGAAAATACGGGGAAAACACAGAATAATAAATGTGGTTCGTATCTGCATGGTTTTTTTACTTTAAATTTTGGTGGTGTGCTATTAATATGCACATTTTCAAGCCCCACAACCCCGAAAGTGTTAACTGATCATAAGGACTTTCATGGGAATTGATAAAGCAAGCATTAGAAGGGGGAAGAGGTGGGATCCAATACTGTTAATCCAGGGCTAAATACATTACAATTAGGAAATCACCAATCCAGTAACTTACAGAAAGCTACATTACACTTATGTGTAAGAATGCCATCTACTGACTACCAAAAGGTGTCATACTGCAGGACTGTTGAGTACAGAATAAATAAAGCTCAGTTTTCCAGAGGAAAACACAGAACTCATTTCCGTAGCACAGTTGGAGAGACTTGTAAGTGAAATTCAGATTGACTATAGAATAAGAGTCATGATAAAGAATGGAAGGATTAAAATGGTAAAAACAGTAGTCTGCACACTTAAGAGGAAGAAGAGAGAGGCTCAAAAACTAAAGCTGGAATCTAACATTTCTTTTCTTCTTCAAGCAAAAGTCCTCAAACCTTAAATTTCCATCTCAAAGGCAGCCACTGAATTGTAAACAACCAGTTCCAATGACTCAAGTTGGAGCAGGAAGTATTACCAAAGATCTGCCAACTAACATCATTTGCAATGAATACTTCTTAATCCTTGCCTCCCCCTCCTTCAAGACACAGGCATCAGAGCTAGAAGCCTATGGGCTTTCAGCATGGAAGAAAAGAGATCGTAAGTACTGATTTAAAACTATTTTTGCATTAAGAGAGCATGAAAGGAACAAAATGTGAATACATCCCCATTTATACAAGCTGTTACTGACCTTTTCTAAGTCACAATGTTATTATATTCCAACGTACGGGTTATCTGTAGAAATATCACATATCTCAAACTACTAAATGGTATACATGTAAGACAAATATGCTGGTTTTCACTAAACAGTTGAAATATAACTGTGGCTTATGAAGAAAGTCTCACTTAAACTTTTCTCATATCGCAAGTGATTTAATATACTCATTTTTCATGGCAGAACTTACCACAGAGTAAAACATAATACAGATATCTTCTTTCAAAAGACGCTAACAGCATGTAAATATTTAAACAGTTCATTTCTTATACCAGCAGGAGACAGCCAAAAGACAAACAATCATAGGTGGTTTTGTCTGGTTTGTTGGGTTTTTTTTAAAGTTAAACTTTCAGTTAACAAATTATTAAGTATAACATATAAAATGCAGACATTTCAGAAGAAGATAAAAAGTTCTAATGATTCCAGAAGCTGCAGTTAAGCACTAATTAGCAAATAAAATACTGTAGTGACCCTGCAATACTGAAAGCTGTATATGCAATGGCACAGAATCTGAACAAGCGCATACACAGGCATACATACAAATAACATTAACACTGGGTTGCAAATTTCCATTTAAATATCTGTACACGCTAGTCTTCAGGAAACCTTCAAAAATTTTTCCCCCCACAATGTTCGTATCTTTGTCAGCCCCCAAATATTAGCTTCTGCTTATTTAAAGCCAACTTTCAGATTTCCAGTCTTTACTGAGCAGCTCCTTTTAAAAATACCACTTCTCTTGAAAATTGTGCAGCTACTGCTGTCAAGACGACTTACCAACGTAAGATGTTGAACTGGATCGTAATTCATACAAAATACCCAGACAATACTTAAAATCATTGTGTGCAATTCTCCATATTTAAACCCATCCATAGATTCTCCTGCATTTACTACATATAGTAAATACAGGAGTGAATATACACATACCCATACCTTCTGTAGTTGGAAGTAGGTCTCTTCCTTCACTCTTTGTTTCTGTCAGCTTCTCTGTTCTCAGCAATACTTCCGCAAAGCTTTCCAAAGAATTGTTCTGGTATGTGCCATAGCTGATTTCAGACTAGAAGTAAAATAAGATAAGTGACACATGCATGCTACACCCTGCAGTTATATTTAGGTCATTTGCATCAGATGCAATTACCTACTTTGGTTCCTGCATTTGCTTTCCTTTCTGTTTAATTCTAGATTTTTCCTACTATTGCACCAAATTTCAAGTCACATAACCCAAAATCCGTATTATTAATTATAAGATCTCAACAAAAGCTAACTCTTCAGAATTCTGTAATAGAAACTTACTTCTGCGACATATGGATTAGCAATTAGAGACTCATAAAATGGATGACAGCCTTGTTTTTCCACAGTGGCATTTTCTCCACGTCCACTTTTTAATACATCTCCAAATTCTTGGCCCTGGGAAAAATAAGTATAGTTGAGCCTAGTCATAAAAAAGCTCATTAAAAAGTCTGTAACTGCTGTTCAGAAGGGAAGCAACTGTAAATGAAAATATCACTGAATTCAGTGGGGAGAAAGATAAGAGTCATCTCATATAAACCAATGTTGAATGAGGTCCAGTGGGGGGGGGGGGGGGGGGGGGGGGGGATTGGGGAGAGGGAGAGAGAATCATGCTCAAAAGTAGTATCAGAGAAACTAGCATCATAAACATTATAGAAAATCCACTGAAGTAGAGAAGGTAGAAAAGAGAAACTGAAAAGGAACAGCTTTGAATACAAAATGACAGTATTTAAAGAGTATTATTCACTGTGCTTTCTTCCCCAAAGTTCTGAAGTTCTGCCAAATTTCAACTACGCTTTCTCACACTCTACTAAAAAAGCAGGAGAAAACAGATTAGAAAACAAGAAAAGCAAACAACTTTAGAGCCCTTCTTTCATTGGGATTTGCTTGCAAACAATCCCTTGATGTCTCTAGTTCATTTATCAATTTGACGTGTTCAGTTATCAGATACCTATAAAGGAGCCCAGCTTTCATACTAATGTATCAGTGAGTGTGTGAACATCTGCAGACACATCAGCAATCCCTTACATGTAATGGTCGAAGGTAAGTTAATGATCTCTTCCACCACTGTCCATCACTGACAGCGTGCAGCATGGCTTTTGTAGTCAGAGTTGTGTTAGACAACACTTTCATGGTTTTTGATGTCGTCCAGTACAACAAATCAGCAGACTGGCTAGAGGAGACGTTGGTTTCATCCTGCGAGCATATCCAACACACAACGGCAAGTGTTAGATTCATGCTTTAATTAGGCTAACAATTGCTAAAGCCAAACGCATTAGAGATCAGGCACACTACGTTAATAACATATCTTAATGATCACTGATTTAAGCAACAGCTGTCTCAAAACCAACAGACAAATTAAAAGCAATTTAGAAGTTTTTATCTGGAGTAGCATGATCAGTAGAACGTTTTGCCCCTTATTCAACTATAACCTCTTGTTTTGACAGACACCAGCTGTTTTTAATTCCAAAGTTTATAATGGTAATTTTTTACATAATTGTTGAATGCTTCTGTTAAAATAAAGATCTCTCTACAAATTAGGAGATTGAGCATGCTAAAATTAATCTTCAATAATTCAAGAAAGCTGATAGCAGAGACAATCTTGTATTTGTACAGAGGTAGCATTAATTAAGTTGAATTCTCAGTAGGGGAAATGGTGAAGAGATGTGAACATTCATCTCCACACCAAGTGAAAAAGTATCACCAAGATTTGAAATTCTGCAGTTGGCACTTACAAGGTACCAAATATAGCAAACCTAAAAGACTGCAAAAAAGACTCGAGACCCCAGCCTACCCTGCAAAACATCTTCACTCAGTCTCAGTAAACTCACACGTAAGTCAATTCTTAAAAGTAGATAACATGTAGTTAGATAACAAGTTGAGCTTTCTGTACCAGCTCTTCCCCATGTAAAGCATTTAAATACTACCCAGAACATCTATGTTGGTTGATCTGTGCTATTCCAGCCCTGAAAGGTTTGTGTTAATTGCATGCTTTACAAAGCTTACACATTAGACACAAATATATAATTAGCATGCTAATGTAAACACACTGTCTTCAGCAATAGAAAATAAAAATATTTTCCTCCGTACAGCAAACTTCAACAGCTTTATATCCAATGCTTCTCTCTAATGACTCTTCTATTCATTTCCCCATACAGTGAAGTACATTGAAATAGAAAAATTCTACCTGAAAACTAATACCTCACATTCAGTTATACAACTTACTAACTCATGACAACATTTCAGACATCAGAGCAAAAGGATGCCAAGTTATGCTCAAGTGAGTTACGTCCCACCGTAACTTCAGTGACAAAACACGTTTGCTTCAGTAAGGCAGAATTTCACTGTAGACTAACTTATTTTTAGTACCTTTTACTGTAATATGCAGTAAATCACTGCCTCAAGCTGACCACTGAAGTAGCACGTCCATCTTAAGTCCTTCTTTCCATTAAGGCTTCAGCATCTTTTTCAATCTTTTCTGAAATTATATTCCGCATTTCACAGATGCACCACTAACTGGCTAAACTGGAAATTTCAGCTCTTACTTCACCAAATGAAGAAAGAGCATGCCAAGTACAACAAGTCAGAATTTTTACTCCTCTGAAAAGTAAAAAGCAACAGAAATTCCTAGGTCTGGTGGCTTGGTGGGGTGCGGGAGAATTTCTTGTTTGTGTGGTTTTTAAATAAACTACCCTTGGTACTTAGTACAAAAGCTTTTTGTAATTTATTTTAAATGTTATATACAGAATACTGATTCCTCTCTCTGCCTCCATTTTCCAGCAGATGCTGCAGGACACCTAAGTGATTCTTCATGGGGAAAAAAATAAACAAAACAAAACAAAACAAACAACAACAAAAAAAAACAGAACCAGGAAAAAAAATTACCCTCCAAGTTCTCAACTGCATTTGAACAAAATGCATTTTTTAAAATAGATCTCCTTCAGCAGTGTGAAAACTAATGGGTTAACCTGTATGCTGTTGTGTATGCTTCTATAGGTCTACTGCTATCAGAGAAACTCTATTGATTTTTTCTAAAAAGAATTTCAACTCTTAGGAGTAATTACAGCCTTTTCTGCACAAATAAGACTTCTGTTTTCTAAACAGCCATTCCTCTTTGTACCTGGAACAGCAACACTTTCAGGCTATAACTCTTTGCTATCCAGATTCAATCTCATAAAATAAATGATTTCTTAAAGATTGCTGGGGGTCTCATTTTAAGAAGACAACTTTAATTGTATCCTTTAATTGTATCTTCAGGAAGAAGTTATAGCTTGGAGGTTTTGAGGGGTGTTTGGAGGAAATTATTTTCTTATATTATTTCTTCCTGATATCCTTTATAAAAATAAGCACTTCTGATTAAAAACAAAATAATAACAACTTATTTATCCTAAATTAGCAGCTTAAGAATTTGTATGAACATAAATTGATGTTAAAAAAAGTCATCCAACAAATTCTGAATTGTCAAGATACTCCAAAATAACAGCTAAAATATATATATTCTTACATATACATATATATAATTCCAAACAGTTTAACACAGGGACAAATAACAAAGCCAACTATTTTTTAAATAAGCAACAGAAGAGAGAGTAATAAATTAGAATACCTGCAACATGGGTGGTTTTTTTTTTTTGTCTTTAATGACAATTAGACAAGATGCAAGGATCAACACAGGCAACAAAACACATACTGTATAAACTTTACGCATTAAGAATCATTATGCCCTAAGATTATGAAGGAAAAAGTGAGGTGGAACAGATTCTGTTCATAAGACAGAATATGAAGTATTAGTTTTCCATTTTCTTTTTCCCTTTTTGGTACTCCCATGAGAAAACAGGAATTTAAAATAGTGTCTTCTACATAACTATTCATGTTTATTCTACATTTATGTTTTGTGCTTTGGAGGGTTTGGTTGTTTTGTTGTTTTTTATGACAGAATCATTTAGGTTGGACAAGACCTTTAAGACCACTGAGTCCAACCATAAACCTAACACTAACCAATGAACTAATTGAAAACTCCAGTCCTGCAAAGATAAACCAGAGCCTAGATGAGAGACTATGGAAAACACTCAGCTCAAGATAACAGCACTAAAATTCAGGTGTCACTGGATGTCTAAGCTATTGTTAGGGCTATTAATGTCACTGGAACTGAAAAAATACCCCAGCCTTAAGCATACAAATGCATTTGATTCAGCTGCTTAAAAAGAAGCTTTGATGACTGTCTGAGATACATAGCAGTAATTAAGATAACTGCTTTAACACTTGTAGATCTGACTGAGGACCTAGACTTTTTTTGGGTCAGCAGCTAAAGGACAGGAGCATAACTTGGGCATCTCAAATTGTTGATATCTATGATTAAGTAACTGACTCAAGCACCCAATGGCTGATTAACTGCATTATTCTCTATGCACCATTGACTGGACCTCCACTGACTACAACAGAGTTTAAATAGTGCACATATAGAGTTCCACATTGAAATTTTTCTCCTCCTTTGCACAAGAGTTCAGTGACACTGTACATGAACATGATGCCTTCAGGAATTGCAGCTACCTATTCCTATAAGAAGAATTCTAATTTAGTTATTACAGAATTATAACCAGTACACTTACTAAACCACAAAACACAGCTCCAGTTAATCGCAAAATAAAACATAAAATTTTAAAAAATCGCAACTATTTGAAACAGCAGCTGGAGCATTATTTTTGCCCTGAGGTTCCAAAGACTCCAGGTGGAAGAGTTTCCAGTGCATGCTACATAAATACAACATTCCTTAATCATTTCTAACCAGCAATGATAAAAATGCGTGACATACCAATTTAATGTACACAAACGTTTTAAAAGATCCCCGTCTTTTCCCAGATCTAGTGCTTGGGCAAAAGCAAAAGCAAAGAAGATGCTAACACTCTGTTAATAGGAAATTTTCTTTTCTTTAAGCAACGTTTAAGAAAATCATTCCTATAATTCGAAGACACTCTCCTCTAGAAATTGTCTGCTCTCCTACCAAACAGTTTGGTTTCAAAGAAACCTGAATCTGAAAATTTCTCTTGTGCTGATGTGCCACTTTACAGTAATTAAGTTTTCACATTCAGATATGTAAAATATAATGATTTTGTTTGTAACAGACATAATGCATGTTTTAAGTGTTGCACAGATTTAACATAAAGTCAGCTCATTTACAAGGCAACTGATGGTTACTGTTTCTACTGTTCATACACAACACAGCATCTCATGACTAAGCATTATATTCTAATCTAATAATGTTAGCAATAATATTCTGAAATGCTTTTCATTAATTAAGACCTTAATTCTTCTCACTGAGATATTTTGTTTGAGAAGCACAAGATTAGTTGTTGAGATATTTGTAGCATACAACAAAGAGAAAAAGGGGTGGGGATTAGAGAAACTTAACATTTTGCTTAAAAATAATCTGGTATGTTAGAATCATTGTAGCTTCCAGAGGATAATTTCTCCAACGGATCCCATGAGTTCAATCAACAGTGACAAGCTGGCACTAAGGTAATCAAGTACATACTTGTACAAATGCATTAGTTCCTACAGAATAATTATGTGTATCTTTACCATAGCAATCAGGAATTTCCTTCAAAGTAGGACCACCAAAAACTTGGAGAAAAGTTATACTCAAGTCAATATGACAGCAATGTTAAATAACACATTTCTATGCAATTTATGAAGATATGTAGCCAGCTGCTATCAAGATTTCCGCAAGTTTCATGGGGAAAAAAAGTTGCAGAAGAAAAACTTAAAACAAAAATGAAATGTGTTTAGACATTTCTAGAGAGGAGTTCATCAAGAGAATGACTGACAAGTATGACCAGCTGGTGATGTAGGTTGGTATAATGAAAAAAATGGTAGTGGCAACTAATGAGTCAATACTAGATAAAGGTAAGAAGAGGTAGAAAAAGGTCACTAAAGCTTTGAAAGGGAAAACTGATATACTTACAGATAGGTATTTTTAATGCAACAGAGAAAGGGATGCCAAACACATGTATGCTAGAAGAAGCTTAGTCAAGTCAAGATATGGAGAATTACATTTAGAGCACCAATTTGAAAAGGTATCAATAAGTGAGAAAGAACATTTGCCAACTTCTTGAGAAAAGGGTGCTATAAGTTAATCAGTACATAAGCAAAAAAGAAAGCAGTGAAAAAGAAAGGGTTAAAAAAAATCTTATAGTTTGTTTTTTCTTTGAAGAAACTGAAATACTGTGCAAGACAATGAAGGTGAAGCACAAGGAATTAGCTGAAGTGGAACTATGGGAATTGCAGTTATGGGATTCAGTTAAGTCAGAGAAACTGAGTTATTGAATATATTGCTTTTCTAACATTTCAGATGTCTGTAACAAAGGAAGGGTTATAGAGTGACTAAATTCTTGGCTATGTTTCCTCCCGTGTCATTGCAAGAAATGAAAGAAGCTATAAATCCTTATTAAGTTAACTGGGAGAGAACAAAAAGACAGAATTAGCAAACAGAACTCACTTCATAGTCTAACAGTCTGAGATACGACATGCCAAGAAGCTGGAAGAAAACAGGAAAAAAAAATAACCCTCAAAGCAGCAACATACAAACTTGCCAGGTCAACTGTCTGTCTACTTCCAGTTCTAAACAGACAACCAACCACAACTAAGGGGGGAAAAAACATGAGAGATATATTGGAGAAAATAAGAGTGGATAATTTTCTGAATGTGAATTCCCCAGCATAATGAAAATTGCTTCAGATACCCAAACTGAATTGATAATGAAGTTAATTAGCGAGTTTGCTCAACTCTGATAAACCCTTGAATAAGTTTCTGAATCATTTATATGCATATATAATTGTTCCGTCACAACACAGTCAATAGTACTACAGCATATGAAAGGTGATGCATGACAAATGTGTTATATACATTAAAATATTGTAAACACGTATCCACACCCACATCAGAACGTTCCACAATTTTATTAACCTCTACTTAATAATCTTCCTCTCAGAGAGATTAATTTACCAATTTCCAGAAAATAAAAAGCATTGCTGCCAGTGAACAGACCTGTTCATATCAATGATTCTAACGGATACATAAAATGTTTAGCTCTCTTCCTCTCATACTGTTTTCAGTGCTATTTTACTTTCCTGCCCATTTATTTTTTTTATATGCAAATATGTACACGTATGTATGTTTACATATGCATATATGCATACAAAGTATGCATGTACACCTATACATATATAAAAAACACACACAAAATACAGACATATACACAGAAGTTGCCTGTTCCCATTCCAGAAACATGAAGGATAGGTGTGGTTTTTTAAGCCACATGGTGTTAAATATACCAAAGGCAAAGAACTAGCATGTTCCATCTACAGCTGTCATTGGTAAAAATTCCCCAAGGGTATAATGACATTAAGGAGGCTGCAGTTCAGATCCTTTTCTCAAAAAGCCAGACTATGCGACATGAACCACCTTTTTGCTTTCTTTCTCTATTCTTTCCTGTATTTCTTTAAGGTTTTTGCCCCCCGCCCCAATCTGTTTATCGCCTATAGAAACACTCAATTGAACAGAAAACAGAGAAAAAAATAAATTAAACTTAGAATTTTCCACTCTGAAGAGGATGAGAGACATTCCTTTCTTTGATAAATAGGTTATTACATCTTCTTTTAAAGAGAGAAATGTACTTGCAATTGTACATGTACACACTTAAATTTGTTAAAATAATAAATATGAAAAGTAGAAAGAGTAATAGTAGACTTTTGTCCTGCTGCCCTGCCTCTATTTCCCACAAAACACTCAATGTTCCTTCTGATCTTACACACAAAAATAATTTCACATGTAATATATGAAAGTTATAAAATGGCAAAGAAGTCATAAACTTCATGATACACAGAACAAAGGGGAAAAATAAGTTTAATTAAAGACATTCTTTAATTAAATATGTAGCTCAGGTTTATTTTCAAATGTCTTACTTTGCAATTGGGACAGATCAAAAATCAAACAAACATTAATGTATTTTATTGTGTTAAGTTTTGTTGCACTTTCCTCTTCTCCTGCCTCTGGGTTTATACTTTTTTTCTATGGTGTTAAGACTGCATATGAAGCAGCAATGAAAAATCAGAACAGGCTAAGTATAAATACGTAAGCAAAACCTTGAACTTAAAACAATCTAAGAACAAAAATTAGTAGATGTATTTAATGTGCACGTTATCTAGCAAACAGGTACATATTGCTAAAAACTCAAATTCTGCTCTTCAGCATAATGCAGAACAAAATCATTATCACTTTAAAAACTCTCTTTAAAGCTTACCTCTGTATCCTTACTGATCAACGAAGAAGGTCCTGAGATATTTATATTCTCACCTCCTTCTGAAGGAAGAAACTGGTAATTCACAGCCTGATAAAGAATCTATAAACACAAAATAAATATAATCTCTTACCACTCAAATAATCAAATGTAAGAATTATGACTAATGTCACAGGAAACCCAAGAAATTCTGATGTAAAAGCTTCCATGACAGAAAAACACAGATACAGGGGAAGACAGGTATCTTTGACATCCTCTCACTGTTGTAGTCTCTCGACAAAATGACCTTCCCTTCCCTGTGATTTCTGTGCGATATTTTTCACACAATGTATGATTTTTTTTTTTTTTAAATTACGTGTACCCTGCTGTACTACATACGCTAAAGAACTTCCATGAAAAACATCCATTATCTGAACTGTGCCTCTGAGGTGTTGGGCAATTCCACAGAGGCAAGTGGTACACAAGATAATAGTCTTGTGAGCAGAATTTCCACAGGCCACAGAACTGATAAAGGTCAACAAAAGACATGTATAAATATGATCTAGTCAGAGTGACCTTCTGATAAAGATTTTTTGCATATATATATCTACAGACAAAGTACTTGGACTGAACATGTAGGAACATAAATGAACAGAGCTGAAACGCCTATGCTTAGTTTATGGAGAAGGTAATTGCAGAGGAAACTGCTTAAATGTGCTTTGACAGAAATCATGACTTGAGTTTGGCTTCCTGGGGCAAATACCAAATTAATCATCACTGCACTTTTGCTACAAATGATATTGCACTAACATAAAAACCATATAACAAAACCAGTGTCAAGTTTTGTGAAATGCGAAGACAGGGAATCATTCCCCTTGGAGAAGAGGGATGCAAGAGGGTAATAACCAGTGGCTGAGCAGCTGCACTGCATTACACGACACAAAGCATTTATGTCAGGAATAGTGTGGCCAGCAGGAGCAGGGAGGCAATTGTCCCCCTGTACTCGGCGCTGGTGAGGCCGCACCTCAAATACTGTGTCCAGTTTTGGGCCCCTCAATAGAAGAAAGACATTGAGGTGCTGGAGCGTGTCCAGAGAAGGGCAACAAGGCTGGTGAAGGGTCTGGAGAACAAGTCTTATGAGGAGCGGCTGAGGGAACTGGGGTTGTTTAGCCTGGAGAAGAGGAGGCTGAGGGGAGACCTTATCGCTCTCTACAGCTACCTGAAAGGAGGTTGTAGGGAGGTGGGTGTTGGTCTCTTCTCCCATGTAGTTGGTGATAGGACGAGAGGAAATGGGCTCAAGTTGTGCTAGGGGAGGTTTAGATTGGATATTAGGAAAAACTTCTTCGCAGAAAGGGTAGTGAAGCATTGGAACAGGCTGCCCAGAGAGGTGGTGGAGTCACCATCCCTGGAAGTGTTCAAAAAACGGGTAGATGTGGCACTTGGGGACAGGGTTTAGTCTAGTCTACCCTTGATTGGTTTAGTGTGGACTTGGTAGTGTAGGTTAATGGTTGGACTGGATGATCTTAAAGGTCTTTTCCAGCCTAAACAATTCTATGATTCTATGATTTAGAAGGAACATAGAGTGATATAGAGTCAGTGAATTGACAGAAAGTCTAACAGATTCTGGCTTATACAGTGCCAAGTTTGTTTGACTTCAAATTCTAATTCCAGGTATAGGCACATAAAGGGGGGAAAACAAGATTTTATTTCTATACTGTACAGGTATCAATTCTGCAGAGACTCCACTTGCACTTAAGCTCGTAACTGTACCAACCTCTTTCAAATTTGAGAGCTTTCATGATGAAAGAAAATAGTAAGTAGCGTGCAGGAACTAGACTTTATTTCAAATCCTTTGCAGCATTTTAGTCTGATGTTATCCTGTTACTCAAGCAGCACAGACTGCTGTCATGGCTTAACCCCAGTCGGCAACTAAACACCACACAGCCGCTCACTCGCCCCTCACCCCCACCAGTGGGATGGGGGAGAGAATTGGAAAAAAAAAAAAAAAGTAAAACCCCTGCATTGACATAAAGGCAGTTTAATAGGACAGCAGAGGAAGAGAAAATAATAATGCTAATAATAATAATAAAAGAATATACAAGACAAGTGATGCACAGTGCAATTGCTCACCACCTGCTGACTGATCCCCAGCCTGTCCCTGAGCAGCGATCGCTGCCCCCCAGCCAACTCCCCCCAGTTTCTATACTGAGCATGACATCATATGGTATGGAATAGCCCTTTGGCCAGTTTGGGTCAGCTGTCCTGGCTGTGTCCCCTCCCAGTTTCTTGTGCACCTGGCAGGCCATGAGAGGCTGAAAAGTCCTTGACTAGCGTAAGCACTACTTAGCAACAACTAAAACATCAGTGTGTTATCAACATTCTTCTCCTACTAAACCCAAAACACAGCACTATACCAGCTATTAGAAGGAAAAATATCTCAGCTGAAATCAGGACGACTGCCTTCATATGCTGCCCGCATTTCTCGTACACATTGCTATACAAGCAATTTTGTAAAGAAAAAGGCTACACATTTGCAGCTGCCTTAATTAGGCTGCATATGTATTGTAGCTATCAATCCCTTCTCCCCATTCTTCAGACACAGAATGGAAGCCTTCTAAGATGTTTTTATTACACAACAATAAATCTATGAACATTGTGAACTCTTAGACAACTAAGACAAATATGAACTCTTAAACGAGTAATAGTACATAGGCCAAGCCACAATTACATTGAACAGAAATTTAACATTTTGACAACCTAAATTAGTGCACTGCAGTTTCAAATAAAACTTTTCAAAAGGTTTGCTATGTCATCTTGCCATAACTCATACTTAAAGGCCACAATTGCATGTTCTCACTTATATAGTATCATCAGATGAACACATAAGATCTGATTCTATTAAGAAGTCAGTCATTTCAGAGTTAATAAAGATGGCTCAGGCAAAGCCTGTTGTAGTTGTTAAAACCATTACATCGTTGAAATTGGTGAAAAATGAATTTCAGTGTATATTGGGTAGAGATAATAAAAATGTAAGAATAAACATTTAATAGATACTTATGTGGGCATTTAGTGAAGTTGCATTACAAGGTGTAAAAGATGACACAACCTGGAAAACATTGAAAAAAAATTATTTAACTACATTTGCAAATAAAATGTTTAAATCAGGCAATAAATGAAGAAATTAAAAGTACTGAAGATCGAGAATACAACTGCATTCCTACTTCAGAAGCCAACTCATCATACGAAAATGCTTATAAAGAGACCTCATTTGTTGAAAAATAACAGTGAAAGTAGAAAAATAGAGTAGAACAAATATAAACTTGTTGGGGGATGGAACTTAAAGGAACAAACTCAAAAATGAGGACAAGTCCCCTTTACTTCGGTAAGCATTGAACTTGTAGGAAGCACACCTACCTGGGTTTGCAATGAACTGCTCACTGCCAGCAATGCCTCGATGGCACTTGGGGGACAGTGTGTCAGAGCAAAAGCCATGAGTTCCTGACGCATACCCAAATCATGGTAGCCTTCTGATTGCCCAAGCTGACTGCATACTTCCCAGCTTTTAGAATAACCTACAAGGGAACACAAAACATACTTCTGAGGTTGGTAAGCTTCACAAGTGATAGGAGGATGCTGCATAATAATTACTGAATGAGATAA